TGAATCAAACAAGATTACTAATCTACATGCATGACAGGACAATTAGCAAAGCTAAAGAAATTAGTTGTGAATTAGTTGAAATAAGAGTCCTTTCAAGGAACCGACGCTCTACAGGCAGAAAAGAATTTCCACGAGTCCGATATAAGACCGTTTCTTCTTTGTTATTCGTTGCTTGAGTGTCGAAACAATCTCTGATGTTTTTAACTGATAACCTAATTTTAAAGACGAACGCCATGGCGACCAATTTGGATATAAGACCAATGCTAATTTCACTTAGGATTTACAAGGTAATATAAAAGCCATTTGGTGAGGAGTAGGTAACGTTTTTCTGCATAGCCGCCATACCCAATTATAAATGCGCTACATGTACCCTACATCAAGATATAAAAACAACTTTAATAAGTTAAAACGCAAGGAACATAAATATGTAACCTTATAAACAAAAACCAAATACAACAAAAGTGGATAACCGTGGATAAAGAAACATACGCAAAGTACAGTGAATTACTGTTCGTAATACATCAAGTAACTAACACCTATTAATAGATGTGATAAAAATAGTAACACATCTAAGAATAAATTTTTCGCACTTTTACATGGCCATTGTAATACAGAAATAACAATCTATATTGGGGATTCATTACCCAAAACTGCATCTTTTCCAATGACGTATGCACATTAATATTGGGGCATGGATAGTTCATCATCAAAGATTCCAACAGCACATATAGAAACTTAGGTGATCGAGCACAACTAAGTATATCATAAAGAGTAAGACCAATACCAACCCTAGTCATAAGTCGGTTTTCAAATTTTATTTTTGTTTTCTTTGGGGTTAAACACAATACATTACAAAGCCAAGTGAGAGACAGAGAATAACATTATACAAGACTTTATACTTTTGGCAAAAAGGTTTCTAAGGTGACGTATAATCTGTGGTAACAGGCAATATCTGTATAATTGTATATTTTGAGTCTCGTTTCGTCTCTACTTTTTCCATATGTAATACACGATGCTGGTGTTTCCCAAAGCTTAATACGCCGAAATGGACGACCTATGTGCATCTTAGTGTTTAGACAGTCTTTTAAATAGTTCTTTGCATGGATTTTTAAATGCTTTGGCGGTTCGAAAGCAGTATTGGGAACATATTGTGTGATCGAGGAATTTGATATTTTTAATTTTCAAAAAAAAAACAACAACAACAACAAAAAAAAAACAACAACCAGAAAGTACATTTTGGGGTGAGATATTATTTATATCACAAATACGTAAATATCCGTTTGAATCAAGTTTCGTAGAACCTTTCAGATACATGCGTAATTAAATGCTAATTAAATTGTTGCTTGGCAATGCATTGTGATTCTTTAGATCAATTTAATTTGATGGACAGTTTTGTGAGCGATCTCATATGCAAAACATACACAGACATACACACACACACATATATATACTATCATAAAGGTTAGAGAAATTGAATTCGTACTCTACGGAGTTTCGAACCCAGGTCCGCGAGTGAATGGCACCCATTGCCTTGCCTGCACGCACCATCTCATATACTTTCACGACTAAGCACGCATCACCAAAAAATGATGGCGTTGAACCGGTGTTATATGATGCAGACACACTCGCATGACGACCTAGTAAATAATTCTCATATATATATATATATATATATATATATATATATATATATATATATATATATATATATATATATATATATATATATATATATAAATATATATATATATATATATATATATATATATATATATATATATATGTATGCATGTGTGTGTGTGTACAGCCGTTCCAGATTCCTATGAAATATATCAAGGTATATAGGATTGGTTTATTACAAAGAATTATAAATAAATATACCAGACAGTACTGACTGTGCTATCCCTGGATTCTGTAGTAGAATCTTGTTAAAAGTGGGCAGAATTTAATAGGATCTCTCTCTCTCTCTCTCTCTCTCTCTCTCTCTCTCTCTCTCTCTCTCTCTCTCTCTCTCTCTCTCTCTCTCTCTCTCTATATTTATATATATATATATATATATATATATATATATATATATATATATATATATATATATATATATATATATATATATATATAATATCTGTCATGTTCATTTAAAGCTTTATTTAAGTGTGATGCCAGTTACGAAACAATATCAATTTTTAACGTATTCAGGGCAGTCGACCTTTTTATCATTGCATTTGTTTATCTTACTTCAAAAGTACGAATTTAATCCAATCCAGTTCAGTAGTGCTAGTAAACCCAGTCCAACCTACTTCACTACGAAACCCTATCCATTCTATTCTACTTCAAGACACAGTCCAACCTATTCTATTATAAAGCCAAGTCCTGCATGTTATATTCAGGTTATATATAATGCATCCTGCTGAATTGATACGCTTGCCGCCAGCGAATTAAAAACTATCTATAGCCGGTAATATAAAACTCCTTGTCCCTCATTTTTGTTAAAGCTTTATGTATTTTCTCAGAGTTACCATTAGGTAATTAACTGGGGCCAGATTCATTATCCAGATCATGTTTCTTTACAAGCATGAGATCTTAAGGAAATTTTATTCGCTTCGCTAGTTCCAATTTTCCAAATTCCAATTCATCTGCAGGTGCACCAGACGAAGCAACTTCGTAGAAGCAATTCCATATATGTCTAATAACTTTCTCTTCCTTTATAGATTCTCTTGTACTGGCTCGGTTGATGTTTTTCTTAATATATCGTCCTTTCCGGCATCGGATGGTTCAAGTCAATTCATTATTGTGCAGAACTTCAATTAACTGTTTTTCTTAAAATCCAGAGACCCCTGTGTAGTCTCATTAGATAACCACTAAAGTCTTGAAATTCTCCATTTCTTTTTGGTAACCTCCATGGTTTTGGATCCACAACCCTGCATCAACTGTGCAACTGTGCAATTCACATCCTCCATTCAGTGCTTGATTGATTGACAAAACAAATGGCATGACAGAGTTCGTAACCATCTAATAGTGACAAAGGTTATCCTAGGTAAGGTCCCTTTTTGCGACTCTTAACTTTAACTTTGCTTTTTAATTAAAGTATCAAATTGGCTACATTACATTCCTACTAACCACATAACCACAGCGACTTCTCTGATTCATTGGAGTAATCCAATCTAATTATTTAATTCTTAAAATTATTGTATTTTTTTCGGTCGAATTCCTTTGATCAGAGTGATGGTAAGCTCTCATTTTTCATAAGTACTTTACATTATGCACTTACATAGTTTACAAACTTAAATGAACAAATTCCATTGTTCCTCAGCACTCTGCATAAGAAGATGCATAAGCAGTCACGTAATTGGTCAGTGCCTGACACTAAGGGAATGTGTTAATAGCTTTGAGCCCATTTTTAATTTAATTCTTTTTTTTAAAAATCCAAATATTTATTGGAAATAATACAATCTTTGGAATATACGTGCATCTCCTTCACTTTTGGTAATTAATTTATGATTTGATGAATTTATATCATCTACTATGATCCGTGCATCATTTTGACCTTTGCATTCGGGTGAGATTTTATAATACAATGGTGGACGGTCGTGTACAGCTGACATCTCAAGAAGCACTGACAAACCCCGAAATAGTAACACCAATGATACCATTGCCACTCGGCAAAGACGAAGACTGCGAATCCTAATCTACCAAGACAAAATCAATGGTGAAACAACCGATATGACTGTCAATCAGCACACGTAACGTTGTGGACTTACTGAAAGTAATTCCACCTCCTGGGCGGCAATTTCCTTAGGCTAGCTCATATGTAAACGAGTTTATCACGTCAGTAGCATTTACGTCTCGTGCAGTTTCTCGAGACGCTACAGCATCTAGCAGTGACTTTGCTGTGAACAATAGCATATTCTACTCGAGAACTGCAGTTTAAAGACCGTTTCCAACAATAGCCGCAGCAATATCATAGATGTATGCATCAACATTGCAATGAGTTAGCCGTATCAGATGCAGAGTTCAACAAAAACTCCCAGCCACCGTCTTAGTTGAGCGTGTTTATGGGCCCGAGATTTCGTCCGTAGCCCGTGAGTATTCCGACTTTTCTGACTTCAAAACTATTTTGAATCGCCGCCGAAAACGATTGAGGAACAGTGTTAAACAGCGAGTAATAGGTGTAAACAATATTTATTCGTTCTAATAAACAATGGAACTTAAAAATAGAATTTGAATATGGAAAACCTCAATGCTAATGATGAATATTATCTATTCAAAATAAAATCTTTAAAATCTGTTTATAGCGAAGAGGAATTTATAGTTGTTTATTGTAATTGAAGTGTGTATACTATTTTGTCAATCTCCTACACTTTAATCATTATCTGAGGTTTTACTTTCACGTGGCCAACGTACAAGAATTTTTGCCTTCCAAATGGGTGTACATCTGCTACACACACATATATATATATATATATATATATATATATATATATATATATATATATATATATATATATATATATATATATATATATATATATATATATATATATATGTATGTGTGTGTGTGTGTGTGTGTGTGTGTATGTGTGTGTGGTGTGGTGTGGTGTTTATGATATTTAACGTAGCTCTAACAATTTTTCAGTCATATCACACACACACAGATATCTATATATATATATATATATATATATATATATATATATATATATATATATATATATATATATATATATATGTGTGTGTGTGTGTGTGTGTGTGTGTGTGTGTGTGTGTGGAGTTTATAATATTTAACGTAGCTCTAACAATTTTTCAGTCATATCGCTACCATGTCAGTAGTGTGGCAGTTTATAGTGATGTCTAGCACTAGGGCATCATGCCGCAGACATGTAGCATGATGTCCCACCCAGTCATATTATCCTCATACCAGGCCTACCAGTCCTAACACTAGCCTCTTAATGCTGAGCGTCAAACGAGTTAGCTGTTAGTACCATTTTTGTAAGTCCTTGGTATGTCTCGACCGAGCATCGAACCATCGACCTCCCGCATCAGAGACGGACGCTCTAACCACTAGGCCACCGGAGCGGGATAGGATGTGTGTGTGTGTGTTTAAGTGTGTGTGTATGTGTGTGTGTGTGTGTGTGTGTTCTTCTTTTAGAAAATAAAGCAGAGCAGTGTGATTGCGTCATTTTTGGGGGGTAACTTTTGAATTTCCAGGATATAATTCTTCGGTTCACAACAGACAAAGCAGTGTCGTAAAACATTTATTGGGCTATTTCGACTTTCTCATCAGAATTTATGGGTTGTACACCTTTTTGCTGGTTACCTTTATTCTTGGATAGACCAAGTCTACAATCTCCTGTGAACCTGAGGATACTCAGGGACACTGTAATTGTCAACTATCTAAAAGTAGATGTTTGATGACTTGGGACCTTCCTTGTATCTCCCACACTTTTATGGCATATTTTCCTACATTTTTAACTGTTTGCGTGTAGTCTTTTGCTAATGTGATATCAATATATCCATAACTATGGTTCGGATAACACACCAATCGCATGACTCATTTCATAAAATCCATGAGATATTCGTATATAATGCCATGATCATCCAAATTTAACTCAACAGGAATGTCCCGTATAATTACAAGTTCAAATTCAATTTATAGGGAATTCTTGTCTGAATGGTCAAATTACAGCGCACGCTGTATTTGGTAAATTTAAGTACACCATCTATTTTAACGGCCTTGTCGGCCTACTTCTGGAATTACAATCAGCCATTTAGTCATTTTTAGTTCATTGAAGTATTCAAATACAACGTGGTCAGGGGTAACATATTGGTATAAAGCGTTTCCATTTACCAAACACTTCCGCCTCGCATATGTCCGGGTTGCTTCGGGTATCTGGTTACGCCAATGTGGGTGAGAAATTTTGTCAGTATTTTCCCGTGGGTGGGTGGTTCTTACCGGCGTTTTCACGGTTCTTCATGCACGAATTACACTGGTCACCACGTACAACTTATTATGCGCTGATAAATGGCTTTAATCTCAGAACAACAACAAAAACATTATTTCAAATCAACATAAAAATAAAAACAGAAGAAACAATAAATCGCATCCTTTGAAAATTGTTTGGTTGTAGCTTAAAGGAAAAATATAAAAAGAGAACAGAAATTCAGGACCGTATTAATGTCAGCTGCGCCCTATTGGTAACATGGCAGTCGGGGCGACGATGAAAGCCAACAGGGGTTTTGGCACCAAAGGACCTCTTGCGCCCGTGGTCTTGGCGCACTAACACCTCTGGCTCCCGGGGCAACCACCACCTCGTCCCACTCACCCCCACCTCGTTAGTACGCTACTGACTGCAGTCAACTGAGAATTCCACAACAAAGTCAAGTGGGTGCCAACTTACATTAAGGGTATTAATATAAATATTATAGTTTGCTATGGTCAGACTCCAAGCCTAATATCTTTGTCTTGTTTTAGCTCTTTGGTTCATTGGGAGGTTTCGATTCTAACGGAATTTACTATGCTCTCGATGACTTCAAATACCTACATGGATCAGCATTACCTCATATGTGACGCAAGATCTATTTATAGATCATATGGTAATTTTTCCAGGTACTATATAAACATACTATCACATCAACTAGTCTCTTACTAGTATTTATTTATAGTATTTATTTATGTAAACATTTATTACACCAGTGAAGCAATTAATAAACTCATTAACATTATAAAATTGACAGATTGTATTGTTAAATATTGCTTTATGTATTTAACTGGACCGTATATTGATGTTAATGTCAGAATTTTTGTGCAATTAGGACTAAAGTTATAATTCATCACGCATTGATTACCCAAAAAATTAAAATATATTGATTAGAGAATTTTTTATAGGAAATAGTTTGGCTCATTAAAAATTACTCGAATTTCATGCAGATGTGTCGTTGCTTGCAGTATGAAAAGCAATTCAGAAAATGTAATTACCAGACTTTGTTTAAATACTGATGATATGATAACCGTCAACATCACAATCTTTGTCCTCCATTTGCTGGTAGGTTGAGAGGGAGTGCTTCGATGTCATTTTAATGTCAGGTGGAACTTAGCATCATGTTTATAACAGAATATCATATAACAGTCAGTATTTGATAATGTTTCAACTTTACAATTTCACACTCACCAGAAGATTTCGTCCTCGTACAAATGACTTTTAAAGCAGGCTGGTTTATTTCTTATACTGACTGTTAACATTAACTGAGGGAATAGTGAGCGATGTTAACAGATTGTCCCATATATGAGGCAAGTTGTAACAGCACCCGTCACTGTTCAGAGTCCCAAGATTCAGTATGGCCAGGGCAAACGTTGTAGATGTACCGTGATATCTCAGACGAGCTTGAACTTGGTCTTCTATGTTCATTCATTTAAACCAAATTTATTTGAGAAACTTTGTCGAGTGCAATTACAAACATATGATTTAGGGTATTCGTTATAAAGCATAAGCTTGTTAGCACTGCCTCCCCGACAGTAACAATAAATATATCATCAATCATGTCGTTGCCGCTACAACCGGTTATACAGAAAATATGAATAAACTTACATGCACAACATAACAATGAAAAGGAACTAATTAATTGCGATTCAGATGGTTGTGAGTGCAGTCAGTTAATTAAATATCTTGGTCTTCCTAATATAATTTTGCACAGTCAAAATACTTGTCTTAGTTTCTACACTTAAGATAGGGTTGCCAAATAAAAATGTTTAGCTTAAGAACGAAAGAGAGTGTTACAGGACGTGATCTCTAAGATTTGAGTACTTGGAACAGTCTAGAAGAAAGTGTTTTGAATGCACAATTTCACCGAAGGAGCAATACTTATTTTTAGAAGTATTATTTGTTTAGAAATCGTAGTTAAGTTAATATATTTTATTCGTTGCCTAGCATGAATGATTGGAGACATTTTATCACCAGCGATGTAGTAATATAAAGTGTGTGTGTGTGTGTGTGTGTGTGTTCTTTTCATCGCGGTTCGAATAGGCTTTAAAATTATGTATTGAAGGGTTGTTTCTTACTTCAATAGGTAACACGTTCCATATTCGAATTGTTGATGATATAAATGAATTATAAAACAAGATCGTTTGAAAATCGAATGGAGTAGAGTCTCATGATCTATAACCAAATGTCTAATCAAATCTTGAAGACACGTGAGAGCTAATCCTTGTTAAATTTTATGGTATCATTGGGAAGGAAATGCACTTTTAGGTGCACCCGTCATTATTCTCATCGCCTCAACATTTAATTTTTCCTAGGAATTCTTTACAATGCATATTACAATTGTCCCAAATGTGATCAAAAATTGGAACAATATAAGATTTGTACATTTATTCCAATGATAATTGATCTAGTTTGAATTTTCATAGTTTTTAAATAATTTAATTTTCCCCGGCTTTGTTGGAAATCTATTTAATGTGTACGTGCCAAGTTGCGTCACTGTTTAATATAAGGCCCAAGTAATTGTACCGAGCAACTTCTTGTATGTTTGATTCGACAACGCATAATATAGGATAGTTGTTCTTGTTCCGTTGAAGTGTTACTAGAATTGGTTCAGTCTTATACGGATTAAATGTATCTAACCAACGTCTTGACCATTCATATATCCTTTTAATGTCAATGTTTAAAATTACAAACAATAGGGGTCCCGAAATGGATCTAATGAGGGACTCCAGTATGAACGCATCTAACATCTGATGACCTATAATTTATAATAACTCATTGTTTCCTTGACAGAAAATAACTTTCAAACCATAATAACAAATTTCCATGAAAACCAATAATCTTTAATTTTGAGAGTAAGCCTTTGTGCCTATTTCTATCGAAATCCTCGTTCTATATTCATTACATCTCGCTTTCAGTGTCCATTCTATTTTCCCAATATAGTTGTGATGGCACTGACTTTCACCCTGTCTTTTACATTTAATGTGATATATAGGTACAAAAATATATTTCAGATCGTCTTATCCTTTGGGTGGTCTAGCATCTGCTAACATCGCTCACTATTACCTCGAGTGATGCAATCAGTCAGTAGAGAATAGATCAGTCTGCTGATTAAGTCCTTCGTACGAGGACGAAAAATTCAAGTTAGCTTTCGATGTTTAATGTGTATCTGATAACATTATTCATATATGATTTTCTTGATCATATATGAATAATGCTACCCAGCTAAGTGTCACCAAAATATTACAGTTAGAGTTAACAGCAAAACAGAAGACCCAACCAATCGATACATGCCAAATCAGAAACCGTCGCCTAATATTCACGTGCTTCTATTTCCGGCTAAAACATGGTATAATAAAGCTTGAAGATTTTATGTTATATCTGTCTTTTTTATTGCCTGCAGGTTTGCACGAGACTGACCGAAAACTGACAGTCCACAAATGTTCTAAAGGGATGAATTGATCGAACCTATAAATGTAGTCTGTAGTCGCCTCAACATGGCAAATTCGAATCAGTTTCTTTTTAGACATATCTTTCTTACTTTATGACTTACATTTCCGGAAATATATCTCTATCGGAAACATGTTACTGTTTAAACTTTCTGGTACAAGGCTGGAAATGGTAATACACAAAATGCTAAATAAATTTTCATATTATTATGTACCAAAATACAACATTCTGCTTCTACATACATTAGCCGAGTGGACTACGGCGCTCACTTTTACTGATTACAACAACTGTCCGCATGGGTCCTAGTCTCGGCTTGACCAATTTGGGTATGTGAAAAAGCTTGCCAGTAGCTTCCATGAGACGGTGGTTCTTACCGGGATTTTCATGGGTTCTTCCTCCACCAAATACACAGATCGGTTTGTATAGAATATCATGTTCCGAAAAAATGGAGTTCAATCGATAAAACAAGCACATTCACTTCTACATTTTTTCTTTGTTTATAATATTTTGGCTTTAATTTTAATATTCTAAGTCCTTTTCTTCTTTGTGCCGTATTCAGAGTAATAGGGTGCACGTGTGTCTTGAAAAATACTTTAATTTCGTGATGACATAACTCTTGTTCATCCAGAGTTTATTCGATCGCACTAT